GCTTTGTTCGGCCCCTCGTTCCTGAACGTTGAGACAGGCAAGGTTTCGTGCGGTGTTGCCGTCTTCGCACGGCTCAGCATTGGATTACGATGGCCTCCAGAAGGTCCTGGCCCAGTTGTTCCTGGACGTGCTATCAAGGTTCTGGCGGATTTTCCTGGATGGCCCACGGTGACGGTTTTCTCGGTCTATTTGAAGACGTCGGAGGGCCTCAGCGAGGCCAACATCCAGATGATTTCGAAGATAGGTAAGCAGGTGCATGACCCAACTCATACGATTCTCGCGGGGGACTGGAATCTCACACCACAGGTTCTGGAGGCTTCTGGAGTTCCACGCAAGCTGGGGATGTTGGTTCTTGCGCCGATTGAGCACACGTGTCGTACCCCGTCTACGAACACAATCATTGATTTCTTCGTCATGGGCCCCGGCTTGTCTAGATTGATTTCTGGCGTTGCTGCGGTCATGTCTTGGGATGTCAAGCCCCACAGGCCTGTTCAACTCAAGGTTCGTGCAGATGCTCTCTCCCTCAGGCAGTTAGTGTACCGTAGTTATCAGCGGCTCCCTGTTGATGTGCCTTTCGGACCGCGGCCTCAACCTCCAGCGTGGCAAGGCGCTCTTGCTCATGCTGCTCAGGCAGCGGCTTGGGCCATGCACGAGAAGGCCACGGTGGCCTGGAGTGTTTTGAATAATGCATGGGCGCAGTTTGTGGATGTCGCTGAGCTGGAGCTTACCCGCACTTTAGGTTTCGAGCCGAAGGAGTTGGGTGAGCGTTCGCGAACGATCAAGTCGTCTTGGGTTTCAGTTTTCTATCGCCCGAAGGATCCTGAGGATAAGCTCCAGATCGTTGCTGGTTGGAGGTGGCTGTACCAGTCTTTTCAGGAATTTACCCTGACGGTGCAAGATGCGACCGAGGAGGCCGCGCAGATTTGCATCCAGCTTCAGGTATCGCTCCAGGACTCCTGCCCTGGTGAAGGCTTGTCTGTGCGCCTTGATGCCTCCCTCCGTGCCATGCGCACTCTGGCGAGGAGCTGGCAACACCACAGCAGCTTCCATCAGCAGGAGTGGCTTGAGCAAGCTCAGCAGTTTTTAGATGATGTTCGTGAGGATTATGAGCAAGCTGAGTCAGATGGGGATCGAATACAGCGGGAGTCTTGGGACATCTGGCAGGAACGGGCCCTTGCTGGCTCAGCTCGGATAATGCATCGTTTTACGAAGCTGAAAAAGGTTTGGCAGCCGACAGTTATCCAGAGTGCGCCTGGAGTTTTTACTGCGGATCCTCACGCCCTTCTGGAGGATGAAGCTCAGACGTTGGGAAGATTCTGGGGAGCGGGCTTGAAGCCACCTGAAGCCTGGATTCCTGATCGTCAATGTTTTCCTCTGGCCAGCGTTGATGAACTTCGGAAAGCGTCCCTGAGCTTCAGCCGCCACACCGCCCAGAGCTTAGATGGATTTCACCCGCGGCATGTTGGTGCCCTCTCCGACGAGGGCCTCACGTGCCTGGCCGTGCTCTACGAGGCCGTGGAGCGGCTGGGCCTTTTCCCCGCGCAGCTACTGTGGATGCTGCTGCCTTTACTGGAGAAGCCCAAAGGAGGTCTCAGGCCGATTCTTCTTCTGGTATCTTTTGTTCGAGTTTGGGAGCGACTTCGGAGACCTCAGGCCGATGCTTTCCTGGATCGGGCCCAGCGGCCTTACTGGTCTTTTGGTGCGGGGCAGTCTGCAGAGGTATCGATATGGCAGCAAAGTGTGATAGCCGAGGAGACCTCCGAAAAGGGCGAGTACACGGCAGGTTTCATTTGGGGCGGAATGAAGTACTATGAGTCCTTTCGGCTCCAGTGGCTGAGGGATCGGGCCCTGTACTGGCGTATACCCACGGTTCTCATAAAAGTCTTGTACAACCTCTGGAGGTCCCCGAGGGTACTCCGTCTGGGAGCTCATCACTGCCCGCTCATTCAGTTTGCGCAAAATGGTTTACCAGCAGGGGACATTTTCAATGATGTTTTCGTGAAGGTTTACGCGATGTTCGAGTTTGATCTTTGGTCTAGCCGAAATCCTGGGGTTAGTTTGGGATCGTACGTCGACGACGACACGGTTTCGGCCCATGGTCCCGAAAGTGCCATTATGCACGATTTGGTCACGGCTGCGAAAGATTTGAAGTGGGTCTTTCAGACACGTTTAGGTGTGCGGCTAGCTGAAGACAAAGCGGTATCTTTTTCGTCGTCCAGCAGGATAGCTTCCAAGTTGCGCAGGCGACTTCAGCCAATATGCCCTTCTTCGGCCACGAACTCCACGGTGTCGCTGGGCGTGGACCTAGCACCTGGTCAGGGGTTATCGGCTAAGAAGGCTAGAGCTCGGCGGCGGCAACGGTTTCACGATATGCGAGTTCGTAGCCGGCTACTCCAGCACTATAAGAAGAAGCTTCCCAGGGACCGTACGCGTATTAACAAGATATATGTAGCAGGAGTACGGCCAGCAGCAGGTTTCGGTAGCATGGTCCTAGGAGTTTCTGATCATGAGTTGGCTTCTTTACGTTCTGTGCTCATGTCAGGCAAGTCCCCTGCTCATCGGGGAGCCAGCCTGACAGCGAAGTGTGTACTTCATGGAGACCCTGCGTGGCGTCAGGCGGTTGCCCCAGCACTTCAGTGGTCGAACAGCCTCTGGCAGAGCCTCACGGGGCCCACGGTGTGCCATTTCTCTTTTCGGGATCACATTCGGATATGGCGTACAATATCGAGTTCCTCTCCTGAGTTAGGCCCCACCGTCTGGCGTAAGTCTAAAGGTCCAGTGCATAGAATGCTCCTCTCCCTCCATCGTATTGGGTGGCGTGCAGATAACTTTGCGCTGTGGAGAGATGACCGCGATCGTGTGGTTGATTTAATGTACACCTCCCCAGCTTTAGTGGCCAAGCAGCTCGAGGCTGGTGTGCAGAGAGCCCTTGAGCGCAAGATGGCCACTGATTTAGATGATTTCAATGATGCCCGAGTCTGCCCAGACCCTGTCGCTGAGCTTTTCCGTTCACGTAAGACCACGGCCAGACAAAAATATGGGCTCTCGGCAGTGTTTTCAGGTGCCTGCTGGACGGGAGATCGGTTGAGAGCGTGCGGGTATGACCACGGGGGGGATTGTCCTTTGTGCGGGGAACCCGACTCCCTGTTCCATCGGCAATGGCTCTGTCCGAGTGTTGCCGAACAGAGGCTCGAGCATGTCAGTCAGGAGTTGATTGATCAGGTGAAAGCTGCCGAGCCCCAGGAACTTTTGTTTTGGTCGAGGCTCATTGTGCCTCAGCCTGTGGTCCCTGGTCCGTCCTGGAACCTCGACCCGATTTTTCAGGATTCCGAGGGCCAGGAAATCAGTTTTGAAGATTTTCTTGAGCTGTCCCGTGGGTGTGAGCCCGTGGTCGATGGCTCAGCAACTCAGCAGGTGTTTAAGGAGCTCCAACGCGCGGCGTTCGGTGCTGTGTTCCTGGCACCTGGCCCCGAATACAAGATTCAGGCACGGATGATGGGCACAGTATGGCCCACCTTATTCCAGACTCCGCAGTCGGCGGAGCACCTTGGTATGGCTACGCTTAGCTGTGTCATAGATGACCCTGCCACCCCTCACAGCGACTGCTCTGGTGCCGTTAATCTGCACAATGCTAGGGCTGTCTGGGACCTGCCTCCTACACCCCTGCCCACAGGTCTGAGGAGGTGATTTTGGCTTTACCGATTTTGGAGCGTCGCATTGCCCTGGGAAATGCTGATGCTGATAGGTTAGCCAAGCACGCACTGACACTTCACCCAGGGGCCCCGACAGAAGACCTCGAGGCCCTTGATGTGTGCGTGAAGCGTGTGAAAGATTTAGTTCGAATGTTTGATGCTGTGCTCTCCTGCTACCCCAAGATGGAGTTCCGTCGCGTTGCCAGAGGCCTTCGGACGACGGCTTTCAGAGATCCGAGTTGGCACGACTGGCGCGAGATTGACCCTGGGGTAGCTTGGAGGTGCACGAAGTGTTTCTCGATCACCTGGGATCAGGATAGATCGATGGTAGGGTGCAAAGGGGTCCCCACAGCCCTTCGGAATCTGAAGGATGCCGAGGAACGGGGGCACCTCCTAGCTTGTGCGATGATTGACAATGTGGCCCAGGAACCTTTAGTGTTTTGCTATAGGTGTGGTGCCTACTCTTCGAAAAGGTGTGTTTTGCTGGCTGGGCGGTGTCTTGGGAAGCTGGGTAAGAGATCCCAGACCTTCTTCCGAGTCAAGCAGGGGCTCCATCCTCACTTTTACAATGATAATCGTGTCACGGACCCTTGCCGTCGCTCTGCCGAGGCTGTCCTTGAGGCCGCAACCACACAAGGTGGTAAACCGACGGCCTCCCGCCTGCGCCTCGTGTCAACTCCTGGCATGGAGGCTCTGGCGGCCCGCGTTCGTGCGCGGGAAGAAGCTGCAGCTGCCTCCCGCCGATCGGGTTAGGCGGGATTGCTCTGTTCTGCCTCGAGGGCCTCCGAGGAAAATCCTCCTCCTCCTCCTGCTCCTCCTCCTCCTCCTCCTCTTCTTCCTCCTCCTCCTCCTGCTCCTCCTCCTCCTCCTCCTCCTCCTCCTCCTCCTGCTCCCTGCTCCTCCTCCTCCTCCTCCTCCTCCTCCTCCTCCTCCTCCTCCTCCTCCTCCTCCTCCTCCTCCTCCTCCTCCTCCTCCTCCTCCTCCTCCTCCTCCTCCTCCTCCTCCTCCTCCTCTCCTCCTCCCCTCCCTCCTCCTCCTCCTCCTCCTCCTCCTCCTCCTCCTCCTCCTCCTCCTCCTCCTCCTCCTCCTCCCCCTCCTCCTCCTCCTCCTCCTCCTCCCCCTACCGTAGCCTTTGTGGCTCAAGATGATGCTGTACCCTGGGCTGGAAAGGGACACCTCCTGCCCGAGGCCAGACCCCGGTTTCTCTGTGAGTTCTTGCTGGAGCACCCGCGGCAGTCGCTTTCGGGCACTGTTGGCCGCGGGTAAACTGAGGTCTTTCCAGTTCCTGCGGTCACCAGTGTCCTCTCCATGGGCGTTGCCGGTGCCGCCAAGTCTACTGGGGAGGGCTCGCTCCGCAAGAGCGGCACCAGCAAATTCAAGTCGAATGGCTCAGCTGCTGGCTCTACTTCTGGTGCTGATGGCCGTCGGGGTGATCGGTCACGCACCCCTACGCCCGGTGAGGGGTCCGAGCTCGACGACTACGCCTCCTTGGCCTTCGTCCACGAGCTCGCGAACAAGATGGACAGGATGGAGGGAGGTATCAAGGACAGCCTCAAGCAGTCCGTCACAGCCGCCGTCCGCGACTCCACTAAGTGCATAGTGCATCGCCGAGGCCCTGGCTGCTGCGCAGGCGGGGATCAACGGACTCCACACGAAGATCGAGAAGGACATCGCCATCGCCGTCGGCCAGCAGATCGGCGCGACCCGCACCGCCTTCCAGAAGCAGGTGGACGCCTTCCACAGTCGGGTCGGCTCCCTCGAGGACCGCCAGGAGCGGACGGAGGCCACCTCGAGGACCATCAGGACGGCCAGATGATCCAGCTAGCGGCCGCATCTATTGCGCGTTCCACTCCTGCAGAGCTCTCGCGAAAGCGAGTAAGCGACCACGCTGACGCGCTTATTTCTCTCTGCATGAGTGATGAGAAACCGAAGGAGAACCAGCCGATCGCACCCTACATTGGCAAGTCCGCCGCCGTCAAGCAGATTGCTGAAGCCATCTTCGACGGCGATGACCTGGGCAGGCGCGCGCCACCTACTCGACCACTGAGGGCCGCGCCACCGCTGAGGGAGATCGCGCGCGAAGCGCCTGGCAAGATTCAGGAGGGGGCCCTGCTCGAGGCGAAGTTATTTTCCAGGTCGCCAAGTCAATTGCTCGTGCTGTCTGGCGGCAGGATCTCCCGCCGGCTTCGCGACTGCTGCGCGCCCGTATTATTGCCGAGGACCACGCATTCATTTTGAATTGCAGGGCGGCGCTGATCGACCCCGCCAAGTCCGAGGAGTGGGCCAGCAGCCTCTTTCGGCAGGATGCTGACCGCCGGTGGGAGGCGATCGAGCTTGCCCGTCAAAGGGGTCGCCTTCACCCCATGCAAGCGCGTGTCCAGGCTCAGGCTCTGCAAAGAAAAGTGCAGCTCTGGAACCCGATCAGCAAGCGGCTGGCGCTCACCAGTGTCAAGACGAGCGAGGCCGCAGTGCTGGGGCCCAACAAGCGGCTCGGGAAGCTCGTCGAGCACTGGCAACCTGTCTTCCAAGGCAAGCACGTGGACCTCGAGGCTGCGACCACCTACCTGACAGAGTTCGCGCCCAAGGTCGACTTCAGCCAGTTCGCTCCTCCCGACTACGAGACGCTGCAGAGGTTCGCCAAGTGGATTTCGACCACCTCAACTGGACTGGATGGCCCCCCATACATGGCATGGTCCTCGCACTGCAAGGCCACGGAGACGCTCTGGGAGGTCATGTTCTGGACGTTGGGAGGATGCTTACTATCAGATGAGAAGCCAGCGCGACGGCCCAAGCGTTCTTGTCCAGAGGGGAAGAACCGGGCGATGCTGAACACTTCGGCTGCCATTGTGATCCATCCAAAGTCAGGATGACCGGTCGCAGGAACACGCTGCTGAAGACGATCGGCAGCACGATGATCGCCGCGACGGCCACGGTCGCAGCCCAGCGCGCCCCAGCATCGCAGGGGGGGGGGTCATCCACCAGGGCGCCACGCCCTGGAGCTCGACGCGGAGAGCCTCATCGCGTCGGCGGACCATGACGCGTGGAGCAAGCTGCCCGTCCTCGCGTCGATGGACATCGCCCAGGCCTTCCCCAGTTGCGCGCATCAGTTCATCCGCCTGGCGCTGCAGGCCACGGGTGCACCGCAGGCGGTGCTGTTCTCCGACGCGATGTGCCGCGACATGAAGGCTGGTGCACCGCGCGCTGGTAAATATATGCCGCCTTTCTACATCCGATCTGTCATCATTCAAGGCTGCGGCTGGAGCGGCGCTCTTAATGCTATGGGGGGGGGGGGGGGCGGCCTGATCCCTGCTTAACTTGGAAGAGGCACTGGGGCGCAGAGGCCACGGGCTCTGCCGCGCCTGAGCTGGCGATCTGGGGCTCGCCCTCGCGGCCATCAAGCACCTGCCCATCCTCGCTGTCGCGACGGCCCTCATGGGGGCCCTGGCGCGACTCGCGTCGACGCCCGCCGAGTGCCGCATCATCCTCCTGGCAGACGAAGGCGATGAGAAGCTCAAGCTGCATCTCCGAGAGGCGCTGGCCACCTTGGCACCGCGCCTCCAGGAGTTCCACACGTGCGGTAGCCCGGCCTACCTGGGCGCATTCATTGGCCCAGTAGCAACAGAGCTGCTCGCGCTCGAGAAGGCCGTTCAAACCCTCCTGTGGAGGACCGAGCAATTCAGTGCGAGCGACGCCCCCACGATGGGCACGGTCTTTTTCTTCAGTACCAGGTCGTTGCCAGTTCTTAGGTTATCTGGGAGAATGCGCGACGCTGCCTGACAAGCTCTTCAAGCGCGAAAGCTGGATCAAGTCCTCGGCCCCGAGGTTCCCGAATGGATGCTTCAGGCTGTGGGGCCGGGCGCGTCTGCCGCAGCGGGGCGGCCCTGCGCCGAGGCCCCTCCAGCTGACGCCCCTCTCCACAATCGTCAGAGCGGCGACGTCGACGTTCAAGCAATTCTCGGGGGTCCGCGAGCGGCTGCGCCAGGGGCTTGAGCAGCGCGGCGATGCGATGACGTTTGAAGGAGCTTATCGCGGTGCTCACCATCTCTCGCCATCGCGGTGGAAGATGGGCCCCTTCGTTAAGGCGCCGCACCAGGCGAAGACAGCCACCTCAACGCACCGCTACTGCTCTAAGGAGCTCCTGCAGCCGGCGCTGGAGGCGGCTCAGACCGCATTTGCCAATGGCCAAGTGGGGGCGGTCCAGAAGAATGCGTACCAGGCAGCGATGATCGCCCGCAGTCCAGACACGATCGGCCCCTCCCTGGCCCGGAGGATTACGCTCGAGATCCCAGAGCACGCCGACTTCCTCGCGCTGAACGTCGGCATCTTCGGCGAGATCAGTAAGAAGATGAAGAAGCTGCCGCCGTCGTGGGCAACCGCCTGGACGCGGGCACTCTCGTTCGCCTGGCTCGCGCCCCGCAGGATCATCAATAAGAGGGGGGAGAAGAATTGCATTTTCAAGTGCGAGGGCTGCAGCGACAGCCTCGCGCACTACCTCCAGTGCGAGCGCCTGTCTTGGGCGATTGCTCGTGCTTCTGGCGCGGATGTCCCCGCTTGCCCGCTGGCGCGGCTGGGCGTCGTAGACACGACAAACGAGCCTGCCGAGCAGATCTTCATCGGTTCGACGGTCTCCCACTCACTGCGGGCGAAGGTCTCGGTGGAGGCCGTGGAGGCGGAGGCCGCTGCGAAGGCGGGGCTGCGATCCTCGCGTTCCACGCGCGCCCTGCCACGCGTGAGCCGACCTCCTGCCCCAGCCCCGCTGGGCCACGGGGATCAACATACCTTCGAGGGAGCGCCTGTGGGCAGGGGCTGAGCTGGCGTCGGGCGCAGCGGCCGCATCGGCCGCAGGGCGGCCAGACTCGCGTTCCCATGCTCGGCTCCTCCCCCTCCTCCTCCTCCTCCTCCTCCTCCTCCTCCTCCTCTTCCTCCTCCTCTTCGATCCTACTTGATCCTCCTCTTCCTTTTCCTCGATCTTCCTCCTTGATCTCTTCCTCCCCTTCGGCCTAGTCTAGGCCAAGGCGTCGGTGTCTACGCCTCTTTGGCCAAGCCAGTGAGGGCATGCACACCGATCTCGGGCCCAGGATGTGCCCAGCCAGACATCGGGGAAGTGGTCAGTCCTAGGCTGAAGTCGGGCATGTCCATGTACAGGAGGAATTTCCAAGAATAGTCAAAACATAGTCTGGGGACAATTTTTCCATATTTGTTTGTTTGTTTTGATTGGTCCTGTGCTATCTTCTATTGTTTCTTCCAAATTCCGCCTGTAGGAGGACATGCCCGACCTAATCCTAAGCATCCGACGAGGTGATCTTCTCTATGCGCGGCTCTAGGGGGTTCCGACCCATTCCCCAGGGGTCGCACTTCAGCCCTGATCCGTTTTCGACGGCCCTGGTGCCCGACAACGTGACCAGAGAGGCCGATATCAAGGAAGACCGCCAGGATTTCAACAACTGGTTTCGTGCCAGGACTTCCGGCTGCCGCTCGGGACGATTCAGGCATCCCCAACGCTCCCGACGAGGCGTAGCCCGTGAAAAGCATCCCGAGGATGGAAAACTTCGTGAGCCACGCGCAGAGGAGAGTAGGTGAAAGGGGAGAAGGCTTCTTAGAAGGCGGCTGTTCCTTAGAAGGCGCGGGCCTCATCTGGAGATGCAGCGCCCGCGCCCTCTAAGAGGCAAGCCTCCTTCGAAGAAATCTCCCCCTCTTTCCCCCGCATCCCCCGCGCGCGCCGCCATCCCTGGCCGAAGTCGAAGCACGACGCCGGGACTGCAGCGCGTCACGTCGAGGAGGCCTGGCCAGCGGACGCCCCCCGGCCCTCGCGGACGAGCCCTCCGCCTGGTGGGCGAGCGCCCCGAGGCCGCAGGGCCCCGCGGCAGCCCTGGAGCCGCCCCTGGTGCCCACGCGCTGCTGGATGCCAGGGGCGGCCAAGAGTTCGGGGGCTGCTGGAGGAGGAGGAGGAGGAGGAAGAGGAGGAGGAGGAGGAGGAGGAGGAGGAGGAGGAGGAGGAGGAGGAGGAGGAGGAGGAGGAGGAGGAGAATGAGAATGAGGAGGAGGATGATAGAAGACCAGAGGGACCCGGAGAACCCCAGGGAGCCCCCTTGTCAAGTTGCTGAAGGTGTTCCTGGCCCAAGGTGCCCCCAGCTCTCCGCTCAATGTTGGAGCCCTGGGGCCCCCTGGGCCTCGTGAGGGGTGCTCTGGAGGCCGCGGGGGCTTGCTTGGAGACCCCAGGGGCACCTTACGGCCATGTTTAGTTTTTCTCCAACATCCGCCTGTAGGAGGACCCGCTAAGACCCCCCCCCCCCCGAGGATGGACATGATGGTGACCGCGGCCGAGCTGGCGGCGCCGCTGGGGCAGCTCGGCGGGCTCTGGCTGGAGTTCGGCGTCGCCACCGGGCGGTCCCCGGGCCTCCTCGGGGCCGGGTGGGCATTGATCTCCGACGGCATGTTTCTTGTCGGAGGAGGAAGAGGTACCGATACCATCATCATCATCATCATCATCATCATCATCATCATCATCAGCATCAGCATCAGCATCAGCATCATCATCATCATCATCATCATTATCATCATCAGCATCAGCATCAGCATCAGCATCATCATCAGCAGCATCATCATCATCATCACCATCATCCTCATCATCAACATCATCATCAACATCATCAGCAGCATCATCGTCATCATCATCTTTAACAACATCATCATCATCATCATCAGCATCATCATCATCAACAGCATCAGCATCAGCATCACCATCATCACCACCATCATCATCATCACCATCAACCTCATCATCACCATCCTCATCATCGTACTCATCATCATCAGCATCAGTATCAGCATCATCATCGTCAGTATCATCATGTACATAATCAGCAGCATCATCGTCAGCATCAGTATCATGATCAATGTCGTCATCCATATCACCACCACCACCACCACCACCACCATCATCAGCATCATCATCATCATCATCACCATCACTACAATCGCCAGCATCACCATCAACATTTTCGTCGTCGCGATCGCCATCGCCATCGTCTTTATCATCATCATCATCCGCATCGTCATCATCGTCATCATCAACACAACCACCATCATCATCACGGGCATCATCATTATCACCAGCATCATCATCATCATCTTCATCATCCTCATCATCATCATACTCATCATCATCAGCATCATCATCATCATCTTCATCATCATCATCAGCATCATCATCATCATTATCATTATCATTATCATTATCCTTATCGTCATCATCATCATCATCATCATCATCATCATCATCAGCATCAGCATCAGCATCACCATCATCATCTACCACTCCCACGTTTTCGTCGTCTGGGCTCCCTGGGATGCCTTCGCTGCCACGGCTGAAGTCGCATCGAAATTCTGGTCAGAACGCACCGAGGGAGAGGTCTGGAGAGTAGCGGTATTGGTACCTTTGGGCTTGGCCATTTTGTTGTCCATTTTGCCTATGTTTCCTTCGTTTCGGCATCTGGGATTCCGTTGATTGAACAGCAACAACGCCTCGCTGGATGTCCTGGGAAGGTGGTGGGAGGTGGGTAGGGGGTATGGGGGAGGGGTCAAGTCTCCCCCCCGCCCGCAAGCCGTCTCGCTCACTCCCACCCGCCCTCCCAACACATACGTAGCACCCGAACCTGGCCCGAGCCGCAGCATATGCAGCAGTCGTCTTTGAATGGGCAGCTACTGGGGGCGCATCCGCCTCCGCCGCCGCCGCCGCCGCCGCCGCCCGCCGCCGCCGCTGCCGCGCCGCCGCCGCCGCCGCTGTCCGCCGCCGCCGCCGCCGCTGTCCGCCGCCGCCGCCGCCGCCCGCCACCGCGCCGCCCCCGCCGCCGCCGCCCCGCCGCCGCCGCCGCCGCAGCCTCTGCCGCCGCAGTCGCTGCCGCCACCGCTGCCGCCGCCGCCGCCGCCGCTGCCGTCGCCGCCGCCGCCGCAGTCGCTGCCCGCCGACGCTGCCGCCGCGCCGCCACCGCTGCCGCCAACGCCGCCCGCCCCGCCGCCGCCGCCGCCGCCGCCGCCGCCCCCGCCGCCCCGCCACCCCCGCCAGCCGCCGCCGCCGCCACCCCGCTGCCAAATCGCCGCCGCCGCCCCCGCTGCTAATCGCCGCCGCCGCCGCAGCCGCTGCCGCCCGCAGTCGCTGCCGCCGACGCTGCCGCCGCCGCCGCTGCCGCCACCGCTATCGCCGCCGCAGCCGCCGCCGCCGCCGCCGCCGCCGCCCCCGCCGCCGCCGCCCCCGCCGCCCCCGCCGCCCCCGCAGCCGCCGCAGCCGCCGCCGCCGCCAAGCGGACTCTGTATTATTTTTGACAGGGATGGTGTGGGGAGGCCGCATCGGGTTCGGTGCGCATGTTCCGAATTTGGAGACAGAATGTGTTCTATATTGTTTTGTACAAGGGATGGTGTGGGCAGAGTGGGAGTTGTATTGTTTTTTGTTTACCAGGGATGGTTGGGGGGCGAATGGACCTGGGTTGGCTCCCGGTCGCCTGGGGTAGAGGGTGTATACGAATAGGGAACAGTGATCAAGACACCTCCTGGTCAGCAAGCCGCCTGGCTCACTCCCACCCGCCCTCCCAACACATGAGTAACACCCGGGCCTGAGCATGTTCAGCAGTCGTCTTTGGATGGGCAGCTACTGGGAACCAAAACGGACCCCATGTGCGCGACGCTGGGGCGAGGTGCGTCGCGCGTGCCAGACGCGCCACGCGCGCCAGGCACCCCTGGGGCCCGAGCGTGCCAGGCATGGCTGGTGCGCCAGATGCGCCACGTGCTCCGCGTGCGCCAGGTGTGCCGCAGACTCCAGCCGCGCAAAGTGCGCCACGTTCGGGGCACGTGCAAGTGTGTCAGGTGCGCCAGTGCACGTGACAGCACACAACGGAAAACATGTCGGCCCCCACCCTTCTTGTCGTAAACCAATGCCCATCATTGTGTTTGGTGGGCCTGCGCACAGCAGGCCATACGCCACCACCCCCGCCGTCCCTGTCAAAACCATTTGATAGTGATCGCGGGGTGGCCGCGCATGATCCAGATTTTGCTGCGAGGTGCATGCTGTACTGTTTTTTGTTAGGGGTGGTGGCCCTGCGCACAGAAGGCAATATTCTGGCACCCCCGCCGTCCCTGTTTAAAACAATACAACATGTTCGCGTGCCTCACGAACCTAATTCAAGACTTTGCCCCAAAGCGTTTTTTGCATTGTTTTTGGGCCGGGATGGCAGGAGGGGGGCGCATCGGGTTGGCCGCGCAGGCTCCAAATGTGGAGGTAGTGCGCTTTGCATGATTTGTTGAAAAGGATGGTGTGGCGGGGTGATCATGGTTCTTGGTTGGCCGCCGGTCGCCCAGCTGGGGGAGGGGGTGTACATTTAGGGAACAGTGATGAACCCCTCCCCCGAGCAGAGGAAGGAGGGTTTTTGGCAGATAGAGAGAGAGAGAGAGAGAGAGAGAGAGAGAGAGAAAGAAAGAAACAACAAAACAAAACAAAACATCTAACCACCTACGTACACCCAGAGGGCGAGGAGGAGGGAGGAGGATGGAGGAGGAGGAGGAGGCGGAGGAGGAGGAGGCGGAGGAGGGAGGAAGATGGGGAGGATTAGGGGGACGAAGTGGAGGAGGAGGAGGAGGCGGAGGCGGAGGTGGAGGTGGAGGAGGAGGAGGAGGAGGAAGGAGGAAGAGGAAGGAGGAGGAGGAGGCGGAGGAGGAGGAGGAGGCTGAAGAGAAAGTGGGGAGGAGGAGGGAGGAGGACGGAGGAGGAGGAGGAGGAGGCGGAGGAGGAGGTTTACGACGACGAGTAGGAGGAGGGAGGAGGCGGAGGAGGAGGAGGAGGAGGAAGGGAGGCTCCTGGAACAAGCAGAGGTCACTGGCCTTCGTCTCCCAGCACCTGCGGAGGCTCGCCCCGGCCGCCACGCTGCACGGCTTCGACTCCTTCCACGGCATCCCGCAGGGGTGGCACAAGTACGGCGCGGAGTCATCATCATCATCGTCATCATCAGCATCAGCATCAGCATCATCAGCATCATCATCATCATCATCATCATCATCATCATCAGCATCATCATCATCATTGTCATCATCATCAGCATCAGCATCAGCATCATCATCATCATCGTCAGCATCATCATCATCATCATCATCATCATCATCATCATCATCATCATCATCATCATCATCATCATCATCATCATCATAATCATAATCATCATCATCATCATCATCATCTTCATCATACGGGAGCGTGCTGTCTTTTTCATCGCATTGGCGTTCAAACTTTACCACATGCTGAGGATGCGGTCACCTTGACCCACGCCTCCTGCACATTACAACGCGCACCTTGAGGTTCTGGCTGCAGCGGCCCGCTCGCTCGATCGCTGCTGGAGACAGAGACACGCGGCTCACCAAGCTACGTGCGATCATCACCGTCATCATCATCATCATTCTCATCATCATCATCATCATCATCATCCTCCTCATCATCATCATCATCATCATCATCATCATCATCGCGGGAGCGTGCTGTCTTTTTCATCGCATTGGCGTTCAAACTTTACCACATGCTGAGGGTGCGGCCACCTTGACCCACGCCTCCTGCACATTACAACGCGCACCTTGAGGTACTGGCTGCAGCGGCCCGCTCGCTCGCTCGCTGCCGGAGACAAAGACACGTGGCTCACCAGGCTACGTGCGATCATCACCGTCATCATCATCAACAATATCAACAACAGCATCATCATCATCAGCATCATCATCATCAGCATCATCACGTTCATCATCACCATCATCATCGTCATCGACAACAACATCATCATCATCATCATCATCATCAACCACAACATCATCATCAGGCGCGGAGACCTTCAGCTCGGAGGGTCGGCCGCCCGAGTTTCTGCAGGCGCTGGAGAACGTCAGGCCCCGTTCGAGAACCCAGAGATCCGACGTCGTGATTTTTTTAATACGGGATCCCCGGAAGTCTCGACCCATTCCCCAGGACTGGTTTTTCATCTTGAGTCGTTTTTTGACGGTCCCAGGGCCCGGCGACGGCCCCTATAGAGACCAATTATCCTAGTGCGACCCTACCCAGGAGTTGGAGCCCCTAGGAAAGCAGCATTAGTAGTATCAGTAAAGCTAAGCTAAAGCTAAGCTAAAGCTAAGCTGAAGCTAAGCTAAAACTAAAGCTAAAGCTAAAGCTAAAGCTCCCAGGGGACTGGGGGAACCGCTACCAGGGTTCGGGGAACCGCCCGGGGCGAGTTGCACTGCCCGGCCCCTTTCAGAAAGAGAGTAAGAGCCCTCTGGGCAGAGCTATAGGTAGGGAAACATTGGGAACAACTTCCGTCTTGATTTGTTCGATGCGTTGGATTTCTGGAAGCTCTGGGTTGAGCCGACGTCATCATGCAAAAATCATAACGGCTTGGAGCTTGGGCCATGGGGGCCCGTGCTGCCCCCGCCTTCGGCAGCCGGGGCCGACCGCACACCCTGCAGCACACACACACACACCAGTCCTCGGCTTATTTCGGGCACGTCCCCCTACAGGAGGCATAGGCAAAAGTAGTCAAACAATCGTCTGGGGACTTCTGTTCGATGATCTGTTTGCCATCTTGGGGCACGCTTCGACTGTTTTTTATTCTTCGTCCAGGAATCCAAAATCTACGTCCAAAATCTACGTCCAAAATCCCAAAATCTACGTCCAAAATCTACGTCCAAAATTTACGTCCAAAATTTATTCTTCGACTGTTTTTTACTCTTCGTCCAGAATCCCCCTGTAGGGGATTCTGGACGCCCTGCTGCTCGGTGCCCGAGGCCGCGCCCGCGCACTCCTCGTGGTGCGGGCACTGGTCTTCAGTGCCCGGGGCTGCCAGCGTGCTCCTCGTGGTGCGGAGCCTCGGCGCCCGGGGGCCTCCCCCTGAACGAAGGATTGCAACAAAAACCGATGGATTGCAACAAAAACGAAGGATTGCAACAAAAACCAAAAACCTTCGGTTTTTGTTGCAATCCTTCGTTTTGGTTTTTGTTGCAATCCTTCGGTTTTTGTTGCAATCCTTGGTTTTTGTTGCAATCCCCCCACGCGTCCCCCCCCCCCCCCCCGCGGCCACCCTCGGCCTTCCCCATCCTTGACCAGCCTCGAACTTATCCCTATCCCTAAGAGTGACACGCCAAAAGGCGATGACAACCTTCGGGATGCGCCCTCCAAAAATAGGGGAATCCCTGAGCTTGGCATCGTGATGAGGAGGTGCCCAGCACAGGGATAGGGATATGTTCCAGGCTGGTAAGTCCTGTCTGGTGTGCCATGGCCCTTAGTGGGCCCTGGAAACGACAGGGCCGTTTTGTTACCGGCTCCGTTTTGCCGTTTTTGTTGCTGGTTCCGACGCCGTTTTTTTACCGGTTCCGTCGCCGTTGTTTGACTGGCTCCGGCTCCAGTTCCAGTCCTGGAGCCGTTGTCTTGCCGGTTCCGGTCGCCGTTTTTTTTTGCCGTTTCCCTTTTCAAGGGATTTTTTGCTGGAAACGGTGAAAAAACGGCCCTGCCGTTTCCGGGGCCCACAAAAAAGCCCTGGCCGCGCGCGGCTCGCCGGCGGTCGACCGCGCTGGCGCCCGCGTGCGCGGCCGACCGCCGCGAGAGAGTTTTGGTCGGCCACGGTGTCCGCTCCCTCGCGCTCGGGCTCCGGGGGCCCGTGGTCGGGCCCATCGGGCCGTGCAGGGAGCAGGGGGGCACAAAAGCACGCAGGCACAATGAAGCGTCGATGCCCCCAAAAAATATTGGAAAATGTGGGAAGTGGGGGGGGGAAGGCAGAAAAAACCCAGAAGGTATGGGAAGATGTGCGGGATTTGTTTTTACTCGTGTGTATTTATCTGTGTGTCCTGGGGCCCCTTCAAAGGAGAGCGGCGAGCAGCAGCGGGCCCGTCTTCACTGGCACGTGCGCGTGCGCTGCCAGCGTAGGGGCGAGCGCAAGCGCCCTCGTCTCCAATGTGGCGTGCCGCGTTGGCGACCCGCGTAGGCTGCGGCGCAGGGTCGCGGTGCCATCTCGCGTGCGACCCGCTGCTTTGCAGAGTGGATCCGGGATGGAGCATGGTCTCCGGGGTAAGCGGTCGGGACTCTGGGGCGAGTCGAGACAACGGCGGCCCTCCCTGCTGGATGTCGCCGTTTCTGGGCCTCCTGGGGTCTTCAGGTCGCCACGGCTGGATCCGCCTCGAAGCACGAGTCACCCCAGGAGGGGTCCTGGGACCGATCTTGAGGCGATGTGGGCTGGGCGCGAGAGCCGGACCGTCGTCATCTCATTGGCCCTCGCCCGAGAACGTCAGGTCTCAGAGGTAACGAGAGGGGGGCCTCCCTCCTCCCTCCTCCCCTTCTCCCCTTCTCCCTCCCCCCTCCCTCCTCCAGGGAGGAGGGAGGAGGGAGGAGGGAGGAGGGAGATCATTGACTCCAGTCTCCCACTCCTCGCCGATCGGGGTCTGGTTGCACCACCCTGCCCGGGCACGCGCGGGGGCCTATCGCCGATCTGTCCGAGCCGCATTGCCGTTTCCAGGTCCACGCGCTTGGAAGAAGAGCAGCTGCATGGGCATAAATTGTCGGAGGTTCAAAGCTTCCTGCGTATGCCGATGTTTCTCCCTCCCAGACTGCACGTCGGGTTCTTTGGCGAGACGCTGCCGAAGTTCCTGGAGGAGTCGCCCGTGCCCCAGCCCGTGGCATTCCTGCACGCGGACATGGATCTGTTCGCGTCTGCGCGGGAGGTGTTTGCGTCACTGAGGTGCCAGCTGGTCCCAGGAACCATCATCGTCTTCGACGAGCTGTTCAACTACAAAGGTTGGCATGTGGACGGCGAGTACCGCGCGTGGACGGCCCTCGCCGCCGCGCACAGCATCGAGTGGCGCCCGCTGGGCATCTTCTTTGAGATGGCAGTGCCGATCGTGATCGAGAGCCTTCCCAGCGACTGCTAGCCCGACTGAGCGTGGTGGCAGGGAGGGAGACGAGCTGCAGTCTGCAGGTGTGGCTCTGGATGATCTCTCCCCCGCCCCCGGTCTCCGACGACATGCTTTGCCAAATCCCGACGTTCTTCCTCCGTTTAAACCTCTGCCGGCCTGGTCTCGGTCCCTGGGGGCGCGCATAAGAGAGTGCACACATGGATGTCTGGATCCGACCCTGGACATCCGATGTCTCGATTGTGTCAACACGGGGCCCCTGAAGTCTCGACCCCCTCCCCCGCGGGCTGGCGTTCCCTCCTGTGCCGTTGACGGGCGGCCCGGTGCCTAGCGAGGGCCACCAGGGGCCGGAAACCACGAAGAACATCCGTCTTGGGCGTTGCGTAATGGGGGGGTCATAAATGGGGGGGTGGCGAGGGTGGTTCGAAAAGGTACCCAAACGGTACCTAAACGAGCCCCCTGGGGCTCTGGAGGGGCCCGAAAGGGGCACGAAAGGGGACCTTTTCTGACCCCCCCATTTGTGACCCCCCCATTAAGCAACGCCCAACCGTCAGAGCCCCGAATCATCAGGGGTAACTCGGGTCAGGGCTAACTCGGGTTCGTTTTTCGGGAGTCCGAACCCGAGTTACCCCGGACCCGAGTTACCCCGGATAATACGGGCGTCCAGAGCCCCACATCATCAGGGGTTACTCGGGTCAGGGCTAACTCGGGTTCCTGCTTCGGGAGTCCAAACCCGAGTTACCCCGGACCCGAGTTACCCCGGATAACTCGGGCGCCCAAATCCGTCCTGTGGGCAAGCCTAGGATGAGGATAAACCGCCCCAGAGCATCTTGGAACGCTCTCCGAGCGTCCCAGGGCGCTCTGCAACGGCCGCTGCGGCGCCCGCGGCGTCCTCCAGAGCTGCCAGCCCTCAGAGATTCCCGATGCATCCCGATCTGGATCTGTCCTCATCCTACCCGGTCCCGGCCCTGATTTTCTCGAGGCGCCGGCTGTCTGGGACCCCAAGGCTCAGGAGGGGAAAAAAACACACACAGACACAATTAATCGTCGATTCCCCAAAGAATATGGGAAGTGGGGGGGGAAGACAGAAACCCAGAAAATATAGGAAAATATGGGGAATCTGCTTATTTGTGTTTATTTATTTGTGTGTCCCAGGGCCCCTTCAAAGGCCTGGGAGCGAGTGCGAGTGCCCACCGCCCAGACCCCCATCCCCCCCGAGGTAGCGACAGCTTCACAGCGTCGACCCCCGGAGGTCTCCACCCCTGCCCAGGGACCAGCTTTCCGTTGGTAGGGGGCCACATGCGAACCCTACCCTACCCCCCACGATTTCGGAGGGGGAGGGTGGGGTTCGCTTCGCTCGGGAGCTCCCGAACGAAGTGAACCCCACCCTCCCCCTCCGAAATCGTGGGGGAAAGGGGTAGGGCTCGCATGTGGCCCCCTAATTTGTCCACAGTCCCGGAGGCCGAGAGTTTGCAGAACAATTCCGTCGCCGCGATGTCTCCCCGACGCGGGAAGGACTGGGCGAGAGGAGGTCGAAGGCTCAGTGGGCGCTGGAAACGGCACGGCCGTGTTTGTGCCGTTTTCCAAGAGTTTCCTCTTGATAGTGACGCGGCAGAAGCAACGATTCACCGAAACAGTAAAAAGAGGGTTCACCGAAGCGGCCTTGGGAGCCCAGGGATCCGAAAGACGTTCGGAACCAGTCCGAAAACGGCTCGGATTTGGCATGCAAAAAAATGTGATTTCGATGGGTAAAACAGCAACGCCGCAAACGTCAACAAAAACGGCGCCGGAAGCGGTATAGCAACGGAAGGACGAAAACAGTGCACAAACAACCAGCAAGCAAACAAGCTCGGGCGGGTGGCAGCGGGGGGTGACCTACATGGGGGGCGAGGGAAGGAAAGGGCCCCAAAGTAGGGCCCCTCTTGGGCCCCTGCTGGCTCCAAGAGGGGCCCCAACCCCCCCAGTGAGGCCACCGCCCATTACCACCCGCTCGACACACGGGACGACTTGGCGTTTCCACGGCCCACTCGGATCGAGTGCGCACCAGGCGCGTGTGCCCGCGAGGCCGCCGGCGCGCGTGCCGCCACGCGGCGCCGGGCGGGGCTCGACGGGGGAGCGCTTGGCGGCCGCGGCCGCCAGTGGCGGCAGAGCGCGGGCGGCAGCGGCGGCACAATGTCCTCCTCCTCCTCCTCCTCCTCCTCCTCCTCCTCCTCCTCCTCGTTATCATCAACAACAACATCATCACCATCATCATCATCATCATCGTCGTCATCATCGTCATCATCATAATCACCATCCTCGGCATCAGCATCAGCAGCAAAATCACCATGATGATGATCATCATCATCATCATCATCATCATCATCAGCAGCATCCGCATCATTATCATCCTCGTCATCGGCATCATCATTAGCACCATCATCACCATCATTATCATCAGAACCAGCATCACCATCATCATGAGCATAATAATCAGCATCACCATCATCCGCACCATCATCAGCATCAACATCAACAGCATCATCACCATTAGCATCATCAGCACTATCATCATCACCATCGTCATCGCCACCGTCAGCACCATCATCATCATCATCATCATCATCATCATCATCATCATCATACTCGCCACCAACTTGACCACGATCCTGATCACCATCATCAGCATCATCATCGCCATCGACATGACAGCATCATCATCAGCATCATCATCATCACTGTCATGTCCAGCCTCATCGTTAGCATCGTCATCAGCATCATCATCATCAGCATCATCAGCATCAGCATCACCAGAGTCATCGCCATCGTCATCGGCATCATCATCACCATCACCATCACCACCATCACCAGCATCACCATCCTCCTCGTCAGCATCACCATTCTCATCATTCCCATCGTCAGTATCAGTTCCACCAACATCATCATCAGCAGCCTCATCATCATCATCATCATCATCATCATCAGCATCATCATCATCATCTTTATCATCATCATCATCATCATCATCATCATCATCATCATCATCATCAGCTGCCGCAGCAGCATCAGCATCATCATCATCATCAGCATCATCAACGTCATCATCATAAGCATCACCAACAGCTGCAGCACCACCACCAGCATCGTTGCTGTCGCCGACGGTCATCATCATCATCAACGTAATCCAATTCATCGGCACCACTATCGTGATCCTCCTCCTCCTCCTCGTCATCATCATCATCATCATCAGCATCATCATCATCATCATCATCATCATCATCATCATCATCATCATCATCATCATCATCATCATCGTCATCATCCTCTTCACCAGCAGCAGCAGCAGCATGGTCATCATCATCCGTATCATCCCCATCCCCATCCTCCTCCTCCTCCTCCTCCTCCTCCTCCTCCTCCTCCTCCTCCTCCTCCTCCTCCTCCTCCTCCTCCTCCTCTCCTCCTCCTCCTCCTCCTCCTCCTCTCCCTGCCTCCTCCTCCTCCTCCTCCTCCTCCTCCTCCTCCTCCTCCTCCTCCTCCTCCTCCTCCTCCTCCTCCTCCTCTCATCCGCCCTCCTCCTCATCCTCCTCCTCCTCTTCCTCCTCCTCCTCCTCCTCCTGGGGCCTGGCACCTGTTCTCAAGGTGTAAGCGCCACACACTCCTCGGAGCACACTGTCAGTGTCAATTGCATGCGGTGGCTGGGGGCAGATAAGCCGGCTTTTGTCGTTCTTGCACCAGCCACGTGGCATTTTGCCCGTGGCAGCGGCGCGTTAGCTGCGCCCGTGACCTGGAGATGGGTACCAGGCACGGGGAGTGTGCATTTGGTTGAGAGGCGGGGCCATGTGGTCCGAAGTCCCTTTGGACCTTGTGTCCGCTCACCCTGGGGTACAAACCCAGTTGCACATGCCATCCGATTCGGCAGGGGTGACGGTCGGGAAATACTGCGCGGTGACGCGGTGAACCGGCTGTCCCCCTACGCACCACGCCGTCCCGGTTGGGAAGCGAGTCGCTGAGCGACGAGGTATCTGCCTTTCCCCTGACCGTCGGTGCTGGCGCCTGCGGGCCCCTTCCTCCTGTTTGGGAGGTCGAGGGTGACGGTTGAACCTCGCTCGCCGTTCTGTTCTTGGATCTATGACACTCATGACACTCCTCCTCCTTCTCCGCCTCTTCCTGCTCCTGCTCCTTCCCCTCCCCCTCCCCCTCCTCCTCCTCCTCCTCCTCCTCCTCCTCTTCCTCCTCCTCTTCCTCCTCCTCTTCCTCCTCCTCCTCTCCTCCTCCTCCTCCTCCTCCTCCTCCTCCTCCCCCTCCCCTTCCTCCTCCTCTCCTCCTCCTCTCCTCCTCCACCTCCTTTTCCTCCTCCTCCTCCTCCTCCTCCTCCTCCTCCTCCTCCTCCTCCTCCTCCCTCCTCTGCCTGTTCGTCCTCCCTCCTCCTCCCCGCGCGTGGGAGCTCGCATCAAGGGGGGAGGAGACAGATGAGGGCGCATGCAGGAGCGCGTGCGAGGGAGGAGGGGGATCCAGGAGGGGGAGGAAAAGAGGAGGAGGAGGAGGAGGAGGAGGAGGAGGAGGAGGAGGAGGAGGAGGAGGAGGAGGAGGAGGAGGAGGAGGAGGGAGGAGGAGGAGGAGGAGGAGGGGAGGAGGATAGGGAGGAGGACGAGGATAGGAACAGGAGGAGGAGGAGGAGGAGGAGGCGGAGGAGGATGAGGAGGAGGAGGAGGAGGAGGAGCATGCAGGAGGAGGAGGAGGAGGAGGAGGAGGAGGAGGAGGAGGAGGAGGAGGAGGAGGAGGAGGAGGAGGAGGACCACGGCGACGAGGAGGAGGACGAGGAGAAGGGGGAGAACGAGCTTCATGAGCTTGAGCGTCATAAGAAGTGGCCCGAGAGGCCTCCAGTCAACCCTGTGCTGGAATAAGTATTTGTGTTTTGTCTTCTTGTGCTCCCTCGGGGAGGGCGGATTTCAGCAGTTGCTGAGCAGTTGCTGAGTGTCACTGACGACGGCGGCGGCAGCGCGGCGTCGGTGGCGGCCTTCAGATCAGAACACCAGCTC